AACAGAACTATAACCCGTAATGAAATAGAAACAGTCATCAAAAGTCTCCCAACTAATAAAAGCCCAGGCCCAGATGGCTTCAGTGCAGAATTCTACCTGAAATTCAAAGAAGAGCTAATTCCAATACGCCTCAAAGTATTCCACACAATAGAAGTGGGAGGCTCACTTCCAAACTCATTTTACGAGGCTACAATTACCTTGGTACCCAAGCCACACAAAGACACAACTAAGAAAGAGAACTTTAGACCAATTTCCCTCACGAACATCGAAGTTAGAATTTCTTATTCTTCCAGTTAAAATGGCCAAGGATTCCTCTCACTTTATAAAAAAAAGCCAAAGTGGAGAGGTTTTTCCTTTTATCTGTTTATCCAGAATCCTTAATTCTGTAATTATTTCCCAAGGGTAACATTATTGGGGGAATAGACATATATGATTTTATATTTTAATAAATATTGCTGCATGGCTGCCAGGAACCCGTTATGAATCACTTGTCTATGTGGAACACAGGCCAGGAGGTGAGTAGAGATGCAGGTCCTGCTTTTATTCTGTAGTTGGTCATTGCTAAGGCCCAGCACCATGCCATATCTTTCTTAGAATCTGATTCCTCTTCTGAAGTCTCTGTTACTGTATATTCTATTGAATTTTTCCTAAATGAAGATGCTTGTGGATACTAAAGAAAACAATTCTTTGCCAGTAACATATGTTACAAATATTTTCTTGCACTTTTTAAATGTCCCTCCCTTCCTTCTTTCCTCCTCTTTTTTTTCCCTCTCTTGTTTTCCTGAGATAAAATCTTGTTATATAGTCCAGCCCTGCCCCAAATTTGGGACCCTCTTGTCTTCACCTTCTGAGTCCTGGCTATATGATTCATCATCTGGTTGGGTTTGTTTTTACAGAAAAACCTGCCTTTCTGTCAGAGTTTGACCAGTGGTGTTACACAAAGGCAGCTTCTGAAACTATTGAAATCAATCTCCCACTTTGAGCACATCACATATTGGCAAAGAATGGATTCGAGGCAATAGGTTTTCAAACTATGAACATTTTCTTATCCCCCACACCTCTGTCACTCCTCCAATCTTGTTTCACCGCCCATGCAGCCACGTCTCTTCCAACCACATTGTGAACATCAACTCAGAACTAATCAGTAGTTTCTAGGTTGGAAATTATTTACATATACATATATGCATATATATGAATATGTTTTCACAACCCGTTTATACCAGTCTCTCCATAGCAAGAATTGAGCTGCATCATGTTTCAGTGAAAGACACTCAAAGGCAAGGTGCTCAGGCTGCTATTAATCATATTTTGTAATAGACTGTAAGAACTTGATAGCAAAAAATCCTCACATATCGTGCTATAGTAATGTGGTTATATGTTGCCCAAATTCTTATGTTGATGCTTAATTTGCAGAACGGTATTTGAGGTTGAGATCTTTGGGAGGAACTCCAGTATTTGTGAGTGGAGTGGTACCCTCATGAAATGTGTGAGGACAACTGACTCCTAGGTTAATAAAAGAAGGAAGAGAAAGCATCTATGTACAGGTCAGAAAGCTAGAGCTAGGCAGACATGACCTCCGATGGTGTCTTAAACCTAGTGTGTAGAATGGTGAGAGATAAATATCTTTCTTTAATACACCCAACACAACATGGATGACTGAGACGTAGTGGTAGACAGAATTGTAATATGACTTCCAAGATTCCAAACCTTTGTGCCCATGTCCTTGTGGCATTTTTCATACTTAAGAGGAAATGGGGCCTTAGGCTGTGTTATGGGGCATAAGATTCCCATGGTGGCCCTGATTATATTACATAAGATTGGGTCAGTGTAGATTGGAGGGCACAGCAGGAGATGACAGTGTAAGAAGATACAGGAATCAGGTTGAGATATTTTCCCTGGTTGACAGCCAGTAAGACAATGAATACCGGGTGCTATATACTGTGAACAAATTCTGCATATAATAAATTACTGCTTATGTGATTTCTATTATTTCAAACTCAATTGGCAAGTGTCACTGCACTGAAAGAGTCCCTGAGCTCCAGAAGGCAATGCAGCCCACTTATGGGACACCTTGAAACCACAGAGAGACCAGTTCTTCCATGTTCAGATTCTTGACCTAAAATGGCATAGGATAATGAATAGGTGTGCTCTGTAAATATTAACTACAGGGTATATCTTACACACGGAAACAGAAAACTAATGAGCACTTGAAAAATGTTTCATACAATTAATCCCTTGCAGTTGTCTTTATTTTTCAAGTCTTTGATCTTTATGAATTCAACTTTCATGTGTAAACATGGATGATCATTAAGAATAATATTCATGGAAAGACAGGAAGGAGGCAATGGAGAGGTGGGGATGTGTCTTGGGAAAGGTGCCTGACTTGTGGGAAGGCACAGAAGAATCTGATGCCACAGTGCTATCTGCTAATTCCACTTAAACCAGAAAAACAGTGAAGGCCAAATATTCAGAGGGTTCTTTATTCTGGATAAATGTAAATTGTTTATCTCTACTTTGAATAGTTCCATAAGGGGTTTTAAATACAGGATTCAACCAGCAAATTTAGTTATAAAAATGAACTCAGAACAACTCCATTTTCAAGTGAGACCAGAGATATTCAGGCCCTCCACCCCAAAAGGATGACCAAGAGTAGACTTCAGTCAACTTGGTAATAACAGTCTCTTTGGTTCTTAGTTCTGGATTTGGTACAGACAATTGCATTTGAAAAGTCTATGGGTATTTAAATGTATCAAGTGGATGGCCAAACCTAATCATTACTATGTCTGATTACTTGTCCCCTCAATCTTTCTGTTGATGAAGGGTTTACCTCCCTGTAGCTTTCATACTGTTCCAATTTTTCTGAAGCTTCAGAAGAAAACTTCACATTTAAAGTTATTTCCAATGTCTTCCTTTCCAGTTTCCTGCAATGTGTCATCACCTATGTGACATTTGATATTCATATTTACAACCAATTAAGAATCTGTTTGTTTCAAACCCTTTTTTATATTAATTTAAGGCAGCTTGATATCAGTTAGTTACTGACATCTGGGTGAGAAATGTCTTTAAATATCATATTTAGATGAGATTAGCTGATGATGGGCTGTAGGGAGGCCTCAGTTTGTAGAGTTAACTGTGAGAGCATGAGGACTGGAGTACAGATCCCCTGTGTGTGTGTGTGTGTGTGTGTGTGTGTGTGTGTGTGTGTGTGACAGAGAGAGAGAGAGAGAGAGAGAGAGAGAGAGAGAGAGAGATTATCTAGTGATCTGTCTGATCAGCTTTGATAGGTAAAATGTTATGTTTTACTTACTGACATGCTAGATACTTATAGGAACAGGGTGAGGTGAAGAAACCAATTCTTTCTCTCTCTCTCCAATTAAGTTTGCTCTGATTTAGTCTTGTGAGATAATGAGAAGCCTTTGGACTCTCTTCATAATTATAGCAGTGCCAGGCAGACTTTCTGTTACCCTGAGTCCCAGGTGAATGAAATGAGTAAGCCAAATATATATAAGCCAAATATGAGCCAAACTTCCCCCATTTCATTATCATTCTTACGTCACTGTTTTCTCTTTTTATTCTATGATTCACTTCTTGACTATGGTTACATAATTATCAGAGAGAATTTAACCTATCAGAATGATGCTGTTACTTTAACATTTAAAGGGAAGTCTCAGTATGGCTATAACAGCATAGAGTAACAGAATGACTGATAAGCTGACATAAGAAATTATCAAATTATCTTTCTTCTGGTGTAGAATTAACACTCTTGGAACTGAGCCTGGCTCTCTAGTCCTACAGCAGCCTACTTGTTAGACACCACAAGCATCACTTGCAGCCCATCCATCCCATATCACTACTGGAGGTGCTGAGTCAGCATTTCTGACTCACTCTTACTTAAGATAACATATCCATGTTCACTGGCATGCTGTGCTTTTACCCATCCTCACATATTTCATAAGGAAGAAAGTACAGACAGTGGAAAGTGTGGCTGGAAAGCTGAGCTCATAGATCATCCTGTGTGCGCTGGGACAGAAAGATCTCTCTGCTCCACTGAGTTCCAGTGACTGTGGATTCCAGAGAGAAATGAATGCAAGATGTCACAAGATGTGCTATCCCCAGTAGGCAAGATGACCCAGGTCCTTCAAATAAGAAGGAAGGCTGGTACCCACCAGTTCCCCAGCTGAGTGTGATAGCTCTCACTTGGGGTTAAAAACACTTTCATAGAAAACCCAGTTTCATGTGGTATGCTTGCATGAGGACTTTATTGGCAGTTCCTCTAAGGAAGAAAATTGATGCTGTGATGTGATTGGTGCTGTGAATCAGGGGCCTGGAGGCATCAGCAGTAGGAAGGCATCTGTATGGTTTCAGAACGTCAGGACAGTACGGATACTGAAATATGAAACATAAGATGTTGTTTCCACATTCCCATGACTTACAGTCCCCGTGTGAGTGAATAAAGCATGTGCTATGAGTCTAGTGGAAATCCACCCAGGTTCCCAACCATGCCATGTCTAACCCTGTGACCAAGGTCAAGTCTGTAATAGGGCAATCAACCTTGTTCTGATCTCTCTTGCCTTCCTTGTCTCCAGCTCTAAACTCACACAGAACATCCTAATATGACTGCCATTTAGATTTTGGTTCACAGTTAGCATTCTTAAATAATATAAAGTCTGCATGCCTGGTGTAAGAAATGTAACAGTGGGCAATAATATGCATTTCGTTCTTGCTGCTTGCCATAGGTTAGTTTGAAACTTCATTCTAAACTGCAACACTATCTGGTACACTATCATACTTTGTCCATTTTAGAAAGGTGAAAACTGAGGCTTAGGCTTGTAAATTGTCCAAGCTCACACATCTGTATGTAGAGCCTGAACTAGTGATAGAAGCCAGGGACGCTACTTTTGTTCTTATCCCATTTCTCCTTCATTTTTTGTTATCCATTTACCTTGCCATAAACAATAATTACCCCACCTGCCCCCTATAAATATAATGTCAACGCTTACCTCTTTCCAGTGCGAAGCAGATCAAATCCTTCATTTATTTCCTCAAAAGGTAAAACATGAGTAATTAATGGCTCCAATGGAAACTTCTCAGCCATAAAATCAGTCACAAGTCTGGGGACTTCATCTTTACTCTTGTACCCTGGAAGGAAAGCAGCATCACCATGAGATGGGGTCACTGCAGGTTCTGGGTTAGGTAGAAGACTTCCCAAGTTAACCAAAGTTCTTGGAAGTGCGAAAGTCCAGAGACTCTGTCACCTCCTGCCCTGCATTAACTTTCTTATGATGCCCCTGTCTAATGAGGATAGCTGATTGGTTCTTCCGAGAGAAATTATATGGCAGATGTTTATACTCAGAGTAAGGGAGCTGTCCACATTCAAGTAATAAGCACAGGCATAAGCTACTGCCTTGGGTTTTCTGCATCCTATGAGGCATTTGGGGGCCTCACAAAGATACAAGTTGAAGGAGGCAGAAAAGCCCTGGCTGATTGATGGGGACACAGGTAATCCTGTCTTGGGATTTCCTGCATTGGGTCTTGTTATAGAGAGAACAGTGATTTTCATGTTTCTAAAATATGTTGCTTTATAATACCTGAACTTTTCTGTTTAAAAGGGAAGACATTCTGAAAGGAGTTAAGATTTTGACCTTCAAATCTGGCAAGATGGCTCAGTTAATAAGTTCTTTCTTGTTTGTTTTCTGACACAATATTTTTATTGATTATCTGGGAATTTCACACAATGCCCTCTGATCTTATCCACACACTTCATCCAGTCACACTCACTTTCCAGTCCTCCCAGGCTCAGCCCACAACACGTGTGACCTGTCCCATGGGGAAAAATATGCCGAGTCCAATATATATTCACTGGAGCATGGTCAAACTCCCCGAGGCCAGCTCCTTAAAGAAAACTGAGCCCTTCCCCACCCCATCCACCAGAGGCCACCAACTGTGAAGAGCTACAGCTCAGCCTCCCTATCACAAATTTTAAGAGTTCTCTTCAACAGCTTCCATTGTCTGGACTAGTGGTTTTGGGGGCAGGGGAAGGGGGAGAGGTTGTCACAGAGCTAAGTTTGAGCTACAGAATAAAAAACAAAATAAAGGAAAAAAATAACAATTAACAGTTGATTCAGTGCTGGGGGAGCTTGTAATTCCAGATCTGGAGAGAGGAAACTGGTAGATTCCTGAGACTAGCTGGCCAGGAAGTCTACTTGACTGTGAGCCTCATGCCACTGTGACCCCCTGTCCAAAGAACAAGGCAGATGGCTCCCAAGTAAGGACATCAAATGTTCTGTAGCCTCCACACACATCCACATGTCCACCTTAACACAGAATAAGACATACCAAACTTGACCTTAGCTATAAATTATAAATACATACCACCAAATATTGCTCCTTTCCAGGTACGACCCAGCAACAGCAACATGGGGTTCACTGAGAGGTTTTTTGCATTAGGAGGCACCCCCACAATGACACTTACACCACATGCTGCATGGCAGCTTACCAGGGCAGAATTCTGGAATAAAAATGATATTTAAGTGGATTCTCTTGTGGTGTCTACCCTTGATATACATCTTCAGGTCACATGATGAAATGTGTGGAAAACATTTTGTGAGTGAAAGGGTGAATGAATAAATTTATGTTTAATTCTTCCTTACACACTAATAAAGAAGCAATTCTCATTGTGAGCATGGAAATTCTGGGTTCTCCAAGGAAAATATTGTTTCCTAATCACATAATTCTCAGGCAATCTATGAGTAGGTCTTTTAATTTGTCCATTAATTATAATTGTGAAGCTTGTACTCTGAGCCAGGAATTTTGATGATGAAGATATAATAATGACTACATGAAAAGTTCTCTCTCATCCATTTGTCAAGCTTCTGTTTCAATAAATTCCTACTCTGGTGCTTATATCAAGAACAGGCATGCATGCATAACTTGGTTCTGCCTCCAAAGTATGCATTGGTTTAACAGTATTCTGTTATCTGTAGACATCCAGGAAGTTTTCATCTTTCAGTTGGGCTTTTTACAACATCAATAGGAGACAATCCTTTAGAATCCTCCAAGATAAATATTTAGGGGTCTTTTGATTTTGACATTTAGAAAACCAGATGACCTCAAAAATTGTTAGGTATCAGACTTTTGGATCTTCAAATCAAATTACAACCCAGTTTGTGATTAGAAAAAAGAAAAAGAGAGAATGAATCACAGAAGAACGATAGCCCTGGGAAAAACCAGAATCCTTAGCTTGGAAGAACTCTCTGTCCCAAGAGGAGATGCTATCCTCTCTTGGATCTTCAATCATCTACGGCATCTTGTCTCAGTTGAAGACTGAGAAGAAGGTCATTCTCAGGGTACCATAGCCATTCTCTATAACCAACTCTGCCAAGAATTTCTGGTGTTCCTCAGTAATGGTGATTTGTTAGGATTGTAGGGTCATTTCTCTAGAATTCTATAGGTCTCTTGTTGGGTGAAATGTAACTGGAGAAGTATTCTTTAGCAATGGATTGCATTTGCAATATTTGAAAGTAGTGTCAAGTGTATTTCAAATATACAAGCACTGTAAGTTTAGCAATAGTGTTTCTTATCATGACACGCAGGTGACATTAACTAAGTGCTTTCCACATGGAAGATGGATCCATGTACTATGCCATGTAGATCATAAACAAGCTACAAAATGTGTATCTGTTCAATTTAGGAGGCAAGGCAGACTCTGTGAATTCTATTCAAGAAGTATGTACTCCATATAAATCTGGGTGCTTGCTGGTGCCTGGCCTGGCCTGTCTCTGTATTGAGAACATGGTGTTCCATTAAAGCATTCACTCCTATATTGTTTTATGCTAATAAAATAATACTTGGCCACAAATTACTTATTATTCCTTTTGGCCATATAATGAAACATGAAGATGCTTTTTGAAATATTTAATTTCAAACATTAGCTAATATAAAGAATATGGAAGGAAATTACATTTGTCCATTTAAGACCAAAATTTATGTTTAAATTTTTTGATGAATTGATTTTGACTAAAAAACATCCATTGCAAGCTTCCTCCATTAAAGGGGGAATATTGTTTGAGGCAAGTTTGTAGAACTGAAAAAAATGAAAGTTTATAATAATAGTGAATTAAGCAATCTGAGTAGGACACAGGAGATGGACAATAGCTTTCTGCAGCATATTTCTATTTTGCTGTCTATAGCATATTATGTATGGCAGAAGAGCAGATCTCAAGGCATGCCACAGTACCTACCATGGTGTCAAGCCGACCGATTACTTCAAAGGAAAAGTCTACTCCTCCATCGGTCATTTCCTGGAGAACCTCCTCAATGGGTTTGTTGTAGTCTAGAGGGTTGATGCACTCGGTTGCACCCAATTCTTTGGCCTTTGCAAACTTGTCTTTGTTGATGTCCACAGCAATGATCCTGGATGCTCCAGCTGTTTTACAGCCGATGACGACAGACAGACCAACACCTCCAAGACCAAACACAGCACAGCTGGAGCCTGGGGTCACCTATGATTTCAGAAAACATAAAAGATGGATAGAACAGTGATTGTTAGGGAGTTCTCCATGTTACACAGGCACCTTGCTTTGTCTTCTGTCATGACTACTCAGACTTCATTCCATCTGCTGGCGCAACCTCTTCTTGCTACAGTTGCCTGAAGGGGAATCCTAGAGTAATAGACTGCTGTTTTAACAGGTCTGCTAACAAACTTGCTTAGGAAATATTATGTCTCACAAAGTAGAATTTAGCCAAAGGAGCCCTGTCTTTAACACTGCCATAGGCAGCACACTCAACAGGTATGTCTGAAACTGTAGGGATAGGTATACCTCTAACATAATTAAAGTCTAGGTTTGCTGGGAAAATGTTTCTGCTAAGATTTGTTCACAATCCTCCTAACAAAAGGAGACAAGCCTGGCCCAGAGCTGACCTTTAACAAAGAATGTGTCTCATCCTGGTGCTCTTTCAAGGAACAGCAGGCAGTTAAGAGGGGCTGCATTGGTCACAGTGTCATTAAGTCCTAGTTCATCATTAAGTCTCGGTTTCTTTTCAGGAAAGTTCCACCAGGCAGGCAGATTGGCTTCAGTTAACAGTGTTGGTCTAAGTTTTATAAATAACGTGACAGTACCTTTGCTATGCAGTTCTCCCCATGCTGGCTCTCTTTAGAGATAGCCATGATGACATCTCCACTTTACCAACCTCCCATTTGTCCCAAATTGCCAGCTTGAGAGTTTCTGACTCTTTAAAACTCATTTAGTTACTCAAAGTGTGTTTTGGGCCTGAGACATAATAGAGCATTGCAGACAACAGCATATGTAAAATGTTAGAGCTTAAGATCCCTATAAGTGTAAAATAATTTGTATGAGAGGTCAATTTCTCTTTGGGAACTAGCCAGAGCTGGATGCATACTGTTATAGAGCTTTTCTTGAGTGTGTAGAGTGAATTCTCATGGGAGTTGGAAAGGATTATTTCTCTTCTTCAAAAACACCCTCTGATGCCTGTGAGCAATTCATTTCCTTTTGGTACCGCCAATATCACATAGCTTGTTCCATGGGTGCTGTGAGACTTTAAAATTTATTACAGAAGCAACAATTAATATTCTAGGTATCTACTCCAGAATATTTGCTCATATGAATTTGAGTGTATATAAAACATATGCTAGGTGCTTTGTATTCTCTAATGGACCTCAGAGAAAGGAATTCCTTCCCACTGGGGCTTCAGCAGTAAGAGCTACAGCCTTTGGTTCTCATACTACCTAAGTTTAGGTTTCCCTTTGATATAGCTTTAATGAGCTGCCAGCATGTGTTGCAAGTCATGTCTCCCTGAGGCTTAAGTTTGCCAGTTTGTTTTGCAAGTCAAATCCAGGGGAGAGACATGAGGCACCTGCTTTTCTCAAGATCCTACCTGCCTTATTGGTTCTGAGAGATATGCATGCCCTAATGCCAGAGAGTTGTTAAATGTGCTATGGTTATAAAAACTAGCGGTCTTGTGGGATAGGAAAGACCTCAGGAGAACTTTTAGAAGAAGGTCCTTTGGAAGACTTTTTAGAAAGAACTTTAAAGAGAATACTAAGATAACTTTTGGAGTAAGAACTTTTGAGGAGTGTGCTTTTAGAGATCAATCTTAAGGAGAGCTTTTGAGATTGAATTTTAGGATAAACATCTTCTTGAAGAAAAGAGAACCGTGAGAGGAACACATGTGTGAACTGGTTTATTTCCCAACTCCTCCTCAGACTCCTTTTAGAAGAACCCTGCCCACTTGCTGTCTAGCCACAAGTCGGGCCCATGAGAGATCATGGAATGGTCTTGTTACATGGGTTACTGATCATCTTTAATGACAGGGGATGTCCTTCTGTATACATGTTTCTCTTATTGGTTGATGAATAAAACACGGATTGTCCAGTAGCCAGGCAGGAGCTATAGCTCCGGTTACCAAACCAGGAGAAGGCTGGTGAGAGGGAGGTGGAGAGAGGCCTCGAAGAGATGCCATGGTACTGAAGGAGTAACATGTCAGATTATGGGTAAGCCACAGCCTGATAGCAATACATAGATTAATAGAAATGGGTTAATAATTAAGACAGAGCTAGCCAATAATAAGCCTGAGCCATCATCCAAACATTTTATACTTCACATAAGGCATTGTGTGTTTATTTGGGGCAAAGCGGTGGTGGGACCAAGCAGGACCGAAACCTCCATCTTCATCTTACCTTGGCAACTTTGACAGCAGAGCCATAGCCAGTTGTGAACCCGCAGCCGATGAGGCAGACTTTCTCGAGTGGTGACGCTCCATCGATTTTAGCCACCGCTATCTCATCTACCACAGTGTACTGGGAGAACGTGCTGGTGCCCAGGAAGTTGTGAATTGGCTTCCCCCTGCAGGTGAACCTGCAGGTGCCATCCAGCAGAGTCCCCCGAGGTTTTATCAAACTGTCCGGTGAAACACAGGCATACCAAGGACATGAGACAGAATAAGACCAGTGTGCAACCTTATTGTACAAGAAGACAATAAGAAACCTACTCATTTTTTATACACAAGTTGTTTTCTGGGTGCTTGCAAACCCTGCATTTTCCACACTGGGGAGAGAAGAGCGGGATGACTTTATCACCTGGAGTGGAAATAACAAAACAACAAAATGGCTTAAATGTCTATCCAGGATTAATAAAGCAACCACATGAAGCCCACATGTAGAGATGTGTGTCTTTGAAAGGTCTCCAAGAGATAGGGCCCAACCACACTATGCCATGCATGGGTCATTACCTCCCAGCCTTGCTATTCATCCAGGTTTATATGTGCCTGGAGATTCCCAGAGAGAAAAGGGAAATGTAAAAACAGTCATTTCCATCAATCAGCAGTTAGCTTTAGTTGTGTGCCTCAGTTTCTCTTGGGGACTATACACATATTAGTCAAGTCAAACCTCGGATGTTCTCACTGCTAAGTATAAATATATACGTTAGTGGCAATGAGTTGCCAACTTCTTATATTAGCATAGGCTTTTGGAGAGATATGACATTTTGTCTAATAGTTACAATAACAATAAAATAAAGCCAAACACAGCTTAAGAGATATTTTCTAATAAACATGATAAATTAAACTTGACCATAGGATAAAATTAAAATGAGAACTTTGATAGCCTTTTTAAAAAGATTTGTTTGGTTTTTATGCTCATGTGGGAGTATCCATGTGTGTATGCCACTTGTGTATATGCTGTTTGTGTGTGGGTACTCTTGGAGGCCAGCAGGGGGAGTTTGGTCCCCTAGACCTGGAGTTATAAATGGTTGTGAACTGTTCAGCTGGGTGCTCTAGAATAACAGGATTGATTTTAATCACAAAGTCCTTTTTCCATCGCCCAGGTGTTGGCTTTTCAAAGTGATTGTACTTCTCTTAGTATTAGATGAATACTTAAAACAATAATCCTAATTATCTTTGGAGGAAGCATAGTAAAATGATAAAGTGACAACTTACTTTGGGAAATCTCAGTTTTGAACAAAGAACTAGGTGTTTTCCCTAAGAAATAAAAGGCAACTTTTGCTTTTTGTTAATTATTTATGACAAGTAATTATGTCTTCCATGCATCAGCTTCCTCTTTTAGGAAGGATGCTCTTGGCATCAGAATCAAAACACAAGTCCCGAGGGTAAAGGATTCTGTACCTGGTTTTACAGAAGTCACTCCTTCTCCAACGCTCTCCACAATACCGGCTCCCTCGTGGCCTACAACTACAGGGAAAGGTGAAACCATGCTTCCACTAACCACATGATCATCTGAACGGCAGACGCCCGTGGCCACCATCTGTAAATCAGAGATAGATTACACTTAGAAATGTTCGTGACTGTGGGGTTTAATACACTGTCCTGAACTTGTACTTCCAAAGAGTTTGCTAACATTCCCCATCGCTTCCAAATTCAAAGATTTGATTTAAGTCCATGATCTCCCTGTGCTTTCATCTGTCTTTTCCTAATTAAACAGCTTAAGCATCAATGATCATCTTGTGAGTAAGTGACCCTAAAATAGTATTTTGTACAATATATAAAAGTGCATGCTGAGTTCTGGAAACAGAAATAGGAAATGAGCACCAAGAAATTACCTAATATCAATTGTTTTTTGGATATTAATTCCTTTTAGTAATCAAGATGCTTAGCACTTTACAAACATATAATATTTCAAAAAGTTTTCAGGGATTATGTTAAACATACTTTTTAGTCACTTCAAACTATGAGCAGTTGTTATCAATAGCTTGCCTCAGCAACAGACTAATTCATTGTCAGGACAAGTCTCTTTAGGGGGCTGTTAACTGGAGTTTTCTGAGTTTTTCAAACCTAACTTTATAGATGTCAAAGGTTGTGTTACCTTAATGCGAACTTCGTGGGCCTTGGGGGGTGCGACTTCTATGTCCTCGATGGAGAAGGGCTTGTGAGTCTCCCATAGCACAGCTGCTTTGCACTTGATTACCTGGGAGACAAAGGGTTACTTTATCTCCAAGGAGATCACTGCTCCATGAGAGCTGTCCTGGGGTCTGCCTCCCATTGCTACACAGAAACTGAAGCTTCTCATTTACAAAGAGCTAAAGACCTGAAAAAACAGCTGACACCTTAGCCCAAGGTCAGGAAAATTCAAATAAATATAGTACACCTAGATCTGTCCTGGGGTCTGCCTTGCATTGTTACATAAAAACAGAGGCTTCTCGTTTACTAAGAGCTAAAAGACCCTTAAAAACTGGTGCCACCTCAGCCCAGGGTCAGGAAAATTCACTTAAATGTAGTACACCTAGATGAAAGGGTGTATGTATGCTCTTCCAGGACATGCTTGCACTATTTTTTCCTTGATAGTCACTGGTACTGTTCTGAAAGAGGTTGTCTGAAGAAAACCACTGGGTGTATGTTCAATTCTAAGTGATAATAATTCATATATTTTTGAAGTGCTTTGTGCATTCAGGCAAGGACTCTGTCACAGAGTTAGTCCCCAGGCTTTGGATTTCTGAGACAATATTCTAATAAGCAGCCCAGGCTGGCCTTGAACCAGGAACCTTTCTGTCTTGGCCTTCCTAGTGCTGGGGTTTCAGAGATGTTCTACCACACCTGGTTATGTTATTATTTTGCTGTTCTAGGCAATATAAACACAAACCAGCGATCACCACAGTGCTGTTATTTACCCTGTACCCAAGAGCCTGGGATTCCCTGGACCCTCAGTTCTTGTTTGGTTGATATTATCGGATTTCCACTTAACTTTTTCAGTCATTCTTTTTGCTAACTATTTTTCTTGGAAATGTAATATGCCATCCTAAACATAACCATAAATTGAATCAGAATAATCACTGACAACCAGTCCCTTCTGTGATTCTCAGTCCATCTTTTCAAGAGGGAAATAGTGTCACACTGTGTATGAAGAAGCCTCTGCAAATCCTATCATGCAGTTCTCACTGTGAACTTTTGGACTTTTGACCCACTTCTAAAATAACACCTGTGCCAACACAAACATAGGCTTTTATAGCAAAAATCAGTTATAATGAATGACTGCTTGTTAGTCTCAGTACCATACACAGATTCAGCAAGGAAGTGTGGCTTTTTAGAAAGCTCAGTACCATATATGTGTATTCCTAGTGTTGTCAAGTGGTTCAGTTTTTCTCAGAATTACTTTTATGTAAAAGCTGGATGATTTTTTTAGGAGAGAAGAGACTGTTCTATAGAATTTCTAGAAATTTTGTGAGTTGTCCAAATCACAATTGCATGGTAATGTAATCTTACTGTGGACGATCCTAATGCTTTGAAATCAATCCATCTCTTGTCAGACATTTACCTAGGGCTACAGAGAGAGTTCTACTAAGTTCCTGGAGTCAAATCCTGTTATGAAACTCTGGTCAGACTTAACCTTTATGCTTTCATACAAAAATACAGGATTACAAAAACAGCACTCTAATGGCATCTTAATAAGAACACAGACTATCCCTAAAATATCATTTTACTCTTCCTATTTACCTAGTAGTCACAGTTGGCTTAGAATAACTTTCCCTTACTAAAAGTTAATGAGGAAGTGAGGACGTTCCCAGATATAGATTCTATGCACTTTTATGAAAGATGTTTAGTAGCAATCTAGTTGCACTGTAACCCAGTTCACCTGCAACATACATTACACGTTGCATTTGAGTGCATGCTATTTCTGAGTTAGGAATCTTCATCTTTTGCATATTAATGAGAATATATTTCCAACAGTAATATCGTTTTCTTACTTTTCCAGCTGTGCTCATGCTGTCTGTCCTTGCTGCTATCAGTAGATTGATGGGTCCCTGTAGGCTTCTTCCCTCCTCCAGAGCACCAGACAAGGTCGCACACGGATTTTGTTAGCTGTGGTGTCAGCTGAGTGCACATGTGATCTGCCCCTTTACGACACGCCCTTCTGTTTATTCTCCCTGCCAAAGTGGAAAGAAATGGAACTGTCCTGTCAAGGAAGCATTGCTCTGGGGATGTGCTGATGGGAACATTTTGTTTTTATTCGGTTCAACAATTCTTTTGTGTTCCATCTCGCCCTCTCCCAACCCACTCTCTCCCTTTCTCAGTCAGGTTAGAACTCGTTTCTTTTGCGTAAAAGAAGCTGTAACTAAAAGTCCACATGGTACCTGGTAAGGAAGAGAGACTAGGAAGCAGGGAAGAATGAGCAGACAGACAGAGATTGAGGGAAGAAAATTTGATCTCCATTCCTCTTCAAAGAAAGCACCCACAGAAACAGCAAAGGTTTTAAGGACCCTGGTACTTCTGCAGCACACACTCCTGATTAGCATTGACCAAGAGCCTGTATCAGGCTGGAGCTAGCCTTAGAGGTGGCAGTCATGAGTAAAAGATGGACTCCACTCCTGCCAAGAGACAGTTGACTACAACATGCCCTGTTCCTTCTAGCTGAGAGAACTTGGACATATCTAATGCTCTTTGCCATAGTTTCCTTCTCTGTAAGGTATGGATGAATTAGAGTGTCACTTCAAAGACTGCCATGACCAAATGAAACAGTAAGCACATGTGCTTATCATGGATCCACACAGGTAGGAGACAGCTCAGTGAAGTACAGCTACAACCATTGTGCATGAAAATCGGCTGTCGCCACACTGCAGGAGAGAGGTGCCTGGGTGTGCTCGTCAGCTATGTAGTGAGTGCTAGGAGAGAAAGCATGGCTCTGACTGAGGACTCAGAGGAGGACTGTAGAGAGCATGGACTCGAGTTAGTCTAAAGAATGATTGCTTTGGCAAATGAGCCAAAAGTCACTTAAGACGTCTCAGTTGTCCTTTGTTTATTGTCATGGGTTTGGGAACTAGACCATGCATTTTTGTCTATTGAATATCAAGTCTTCTATCAATGTTAGTAAGACATAGTATATACCACTCGCTATATAAACATAAGTGGGCAACACATATACATAAACAAATGTGCACTTCTCTAGGGTTGTCAAAGAAACAATAATGTTGTGTATATCTATGTCAACTAGAGGTCACATGATCTAATCAGAAACCTCTTCCAGAGAATGGCTTTCACCTTCCTCATCCATATTTGTTTACAATGGTCTGTATAGTATCCAGGATTCCCACTAGGTCCAATGTCCAACACCTTTAAGAATCCCACTCGATTATTGAGTTTAGAGAGCAATGAAAGCACATGGTTTAGCTATGAAGCACAGAATTTTAAGAAGCTAGTGAGTATCAATTGTGCTCCCAAAGCTCAAAGTAGAAGTTCTTCCTACATTTGATCTTAAGGACAACATTACAAGCAAGGTTTTCTCAACCAGTGTTAGATGAGGTAAGAGAAGTATTGAGATTCCCTGATGCCCTTTCTAAGACTTCAAGAACAGAACTATGGGCAGGCTGGTGGTGAGGATAGTTTTGTGGTATGAACACAGTAGATCACAAGAACAGCAAGGGACAGTGGACACCAGATTTTGAACAACCGATCTTAGGGTTAATACATATTCCCTCCCTCTCTCCCTCCCCCTCCTTCCATCCTTCCCTCCCAGCCTCCCTCCTCCCTCCCCTAACCTCTGATTGAACTTTGGTGGTAATTCTGTCCTTTGACTAGAGTCTGTCACTCAGGTGGGACAGGTGTCAAGTTTGGGTTTGATGTCTAGTTCTGACACCTTCATGTAAAACAAATGGATTGAGCTGACTCAAGTATAGACAGCCTCACCACCTAACAAGTGCCATAACCTGGTAATCGGTAGTGCCAGAACTTTAGCACAGAGCTGCCTGATTTAGAAAGGCAGGCTCTTTGTCCTACCAAGATGGTGTAGGGCAGGCCAAAGTATATCAGCTCTTTACCCACAAAGGTAACCTCCACATTTTGTAAAGCTTCAGGATAAAAGATATACAGACAGTCTGAAGCTAAGATGCCATCCTTTTCAAATTCAGAATTTTGTAGGCCAAAGATTTTGCCAAAGTAACTATGGTTGCTATTTACTTGAAAGACATTAGGGAAAGAGAAAGTACTGTGTTTACACTCTCTCTCTCTCTCTCTCTCTCTCTCTCTCTCTCTCTCTGTGTGTGTGTGTGTGTGTGTGTGTGTGTGTGTGTGTGTGTGTGTGTGTGTGTGTAAATCATCAAGTATCCTTCAATTGCTGGCAATAGCAGAAATTTTTCTTCCTGGAGTGCTGTTCTTGGTCAAGACAAACCCAACATGAGACATCAAAAGTTTGCTTAAAATTTTACTTTGGCTCTGATAGCGTAACTGTCATCTTTCTTTCTCAAACTTAGAATATATCACTGACTTGGAGTCAGATTTTGACATAAAGAGAGTGTTGGCAATATTTTTCCACAGACATCGCTGTTCAAGGTCTTAGAAATAATCTCATAGATGCTAAAAAGAAGAGGCAGGAAGGAATCTCCTGCAGTATTCTAGCACCACCTAAAAAGATTGACATGTTTAGAAGATGTGCGGTGGAATTCTGTAGATCCTTAAGATGGTGCAGAAAGAGAAGCCTAATGGAATATGTAGAGTAAACTGCAAAGGATAAAACTCAACAGTCTTCATAATACCGAAATCTAACATTGTAAGAATGAATGGTGATTTTTTTCATAACATAGTGCTACTTTCTGTGGACTATCACATTATATCACCAATTACAGCCAAAGTTCATCAGGAGAAAGTTTTATTCAGTAATTTATTTCCTGGGTGAATGGTGTGATATACAGAAAGGCCTTGTCAGGGTTTGTATTTTGAAATGTTTTCCCCATGGTTTCCTCCACTACTTTCAGAGTTTTTGTCTTATATTAAGAACCTTTGACCCATTTTGAATTGATTTTTGAATGGGGAAGAAGAAGGGAACTGTAGTTTGATTCTGCATATGGCATTGCGGTTTTCCCAGAAACACTTGTTGGAGCTGGTTTTTCATTTTGTTTTGTTTTGTTTTACAATATAAGTTTTCAGCATTTTGTTGAATTTCAGTTCACTGTCACCATGCCACTGTAAAAAAATCACAGATCTCACCTCAAGGGAAATAAGAGTTCATTCTGGAGCAAAGAATTAGTATTAGCATAGCCTGGGAGGACATATATAGGTTACCCCAAATGCTATTCTAAAATTGTAGCAGGTTTGTGAAGTTGTTATGGAAACAGAACAAATTATAAATACATTGGGGGGTGGTAGGTCAGTCAGGTGGGCTAAAATGGGGTGGGGGCAGGGACATCTGGGCCTCAGATCTGATCTGATGATGTTCTCAGGTTTTGAGTTGATGGAAGATAGTCTCTGTACATTCCAAAATCATTTACCTACTAGTCACAAGATGTCACAGGCACAGGTGGGCGATAAAAGGCCATTTAAAGGACTAAGATATCCCAGGATAATTTGACTCTGGATCTGACTAGTCCAGTAACTCCACAGTCATTAACCAGCTTCTGTAGGATGCTCAGTATAGACACAGCTTCTTTGGGGGAACTTCAGGTATCACCTGTCAAGTTTTGTTTACAATCTTGTTTCCTATTCTGCTGTTCTCTTACTCACTAAATCATGGTCAAGCTCCCAGAGGGCAGCCTGGGAAAGACAACGGAGTCTCCCCACTCCCCTCTATTCCCACCCAACCCCTTCAGAAGTTACCAACTGTGAAAAGCTACACTTCAGCATTTCTATCACAACTTTTAAAGACTCTCTTACATAGCTTCCTGTCTATACTGTTTCATCTTAATTTTTTAAATGTGGGGGAAGCGGGGTCTTGTTTCCACAGAAACCTTCAGTGTCTCTTCTTCTTCTTATGAGTCTGTAGTCATCAATGCCCTGCTTATGAAGCTTCCCTGCCCATAACAGCCATTGGCAGCACAGACCATAAACATTCACATGGCCTCCAGCAGCAGCATAGAACACAGACCATCCTCAACACTTTCCCCAGCCGCAGCATGGACCTTAGACATCCACATTCCCTCAGATACCAGCCCATGCCACGGATATCAACATGGCCTCCTCTTGGGCTCAAGCCCTGCCTTGTCCTGGCATAGTTGAACTATTGAGCACTAGAGCAGCACTATTCATAAAGAGGCACCCATTTCTTCACCTAACTAATATATCTGTTCAGTTTCTGCTATTCTAACCAAGATGTCTGGCATCCATTAAAAAGTAAGCCAAAAATATAAGAAAACATTATCCATTATATTAGGTTAATCAAACAAAGGAGTTATACATGATTAAGAAGTTGCAAAGTTTTGACAAAGACTTGGAAATAATCATTATTACTATATTTTAAAAGTGGGAAAAACAGATTAACTCACAGGAACATGTCAGGAATTTCATTAGCACATGAGGATTTAGAGCAGTCAAGTAAAATTATAGTGAGATTTTTAATGCACTGTATTACAGATGAACTGTTCCTTTGGTGGTTCTATGAAAACGCTGAGCACAGCCAAGGAAACTAAAAAAAAAGAAATTGTGCAATAGAAATTACACAATGTGAATGACAAAAGAAAAATGAATAGGAAACTACAGTGCCTGGCTGTGGGACTGTGCAATCCAGGTGTGGGGTAAATCAGAAGCAAAGATTACATAAGCAGGATCCTCCATGTTCTCTGCTTTGCTTCCACTGAAAGGGCAATTTCTCAGTATTTGCTATCAGAGTGAATACCTTAAGAGTTTCTTGCTTGGATGTGCTCTAACACAGCTGTAAATCAAGATTCTAATATTTCCATTTAGCATGTGATCCAGTGCATTAAACAAATTCTGCTAATAGGTTGGTGTTTTCCGTTAAGTGCCTAAGTTAATAACAAACTCCAATAATAAAAGAAATTCTATTTGTTGTGGTGATATATTATTTATGATTTTATTAAAACTTGCCTAAGGATTCGAAAAGCAGTCAGCCACATGCCATAGAAGCCAGGCACACACCTTTCGCCCCAGGACTCAGGATTTAGAGGTCGATGG